AAGCTACTGTATTTTTTAATTAACTATTGACATTTTTGAACCCATTTTGGCAAAACCTATTCAAGAATCTACTTTCTGACAATGTTCAACCATGCACATTTTTTTACGTTTTGAACGTTTTAACGTTTTAATTTGGTATTTACCTAGAAATCAAAAAATATACTAATCAATATTCTAAAAGCAATTTTGAGAGATATACGATTATTTTTAATTTAGGCTAATTTAAACGCCATTTTGAGATTATATTCGACTGTATTTCACCAAACATCAGGCGGCATCCGAAGCTGGAAATCGAAGCGAAAATTTTGAAACCCTTATGTATATTTACATCATTATATATTTCTTACCCCACCCCCACATGATCCTATATCCATCACTAATCGTATACACATCGAATTGTGCTAATTTACTACAAAGTTACGCCAAGCAGCATCTACTATCTAAAATTTGTACTGCGTGACTCTTAATACGTCCCTGCCGAATGTTACAGCGTTCGATGATCACGTGGTCTTGTTTATGTCCGGTCTATCTCTTATCTGAATATACTGTAGTTGTTACAGTGATTATTTATTCCATTTCGGCTCATTTAGCTAGCACCAAAATCAAAAAGATGAGCTAGTCCATGCCCATTCCAAGTAAGACTGATTCGAAGTAGTTTTTATACTTCTTGATGAATTCGTTTGTGGTCTTGTATAGTCTCTATTAATATTTATGGAAAATCTACCGCGTGCCCTTGATGAACCGTATATAGCCTTTCAGATTATTATGTTCACTTGAAATGACTTGCACGCAAGATTCTTTCATCGCGTTATGGTTTTTCTTCAATACTCATTTGGAGAACAGTATCACGATGTACTTTATTTTCTTGGAATCATTTCTTATTTTCTTCGTTATTGGTCATCGATTCTTCTTAATGTCGGCTTGGTTTATTTTTAGTCGAATCAGAATACTGTAAATAAAATTCTTGGGGTGAGATGTAATTTAAACGCCAGATACAGAAATGCCAATAGATATGGAAAATTTCCCCATAAAGATCAAACAAACTGTGCGTCCTAAAATTTAGATTTTAATAGAAAACTCAATTTTTGATGTTGGATCGTAAGGCACGAAGGATGGCGTTGTAAATGTGATGAAAAATCGACACCATTTTAATAAAGGGGTTTGACCGAAAATCTTGAAATGTAAAAAAGTAATAGAAACAATTTTGGAGAAAAATTCATCATTTTGCTTCTATAAAAATATGTCGTATAGTCAACTTGAAGGCATACATGTAGTGATTTCTGTTTACAACGGCTATAAACTAAAAGCACAAAACAACAACACTACTTTTTGTAGAGAATACAAATTGCTACACAAAATTTCTTTTGAAATAAGACAGCACAAAGTGCCGTCTGTTACCAGAATCGACCACGCGCGAAAGTGAAAACAGCAAGCTGTCAAGTGTGGCCGCTAGATGCCGCCGAGTCTGGTGATATAGTAGATACGGTCCAATTTAATTTGACACAGACGAGCAACCATAGACAGCTTTTGGATTCTCGCCCAACTAACAATTATCACTCATATTAGAGTTGCAAGAATGATTATACAGTATTCCTTAAACAGCATTGTATACTGTAAGAACATTGGCAAAACCCTCTCAGAACAGCTTTGAAGTTGAGTCATTAATTTTCAGATAATGATTGTAGAAGGAAGATAAACCAAAATATGTGTGTAAAAATAAAAAAAAATTAAGAAAAAATTTTACCTTGTTTTATAAAGTATCCTCCTGACAAGTATTTCAGTGCGGACCTGTATTTGATCGTGAGGTCTTGGAGCACCGGCATGCCGTCACCTGATTCACGAACCCGTTGTACTACATTAACAAAGGCACGAGGGGTTGGTTGCACTCGATTGGGAAACCGATCCGCATAAACATGTGCCATTTTTTATTTCGTTTGAGCCACGCAACAGACACCACCATTCACTCACGCGTTACCGACTGACACTGACTGTATACAAATGAATAAAATAATTGTAAAAACATCGTTACAAATTCTTTCGCTTTTTTGTTTCCGATGCGATGAACCGATAAGGCGGATTATATCCGTTGTCGCCAAACACGAGCACATAATATTATTATTGAGACAGGGCGGTACTCAAACTTCCAAAGGGCTATAACTTTGTTACTTTAATTTTACCAGAAAAATGGTAAAGGAAAAAACATTTCTTTTGATCAGATCTACTCACTGTTAAAATAAATGACTCAACTTCGAAGTCACCCTGTACAAGCGGAATGGGCACACCTAATAGGACACTTCAGTCATTTAAGGGGTTGTATAAGGACTGCAGGTAAGTTATAAAACAAAAGTGTAAGCCTCTTGCAGCCGCTATAGGACATTTGCGTCAGTGCAAGATTCAGTTTTTGTCAACTATGCAACTATTCTGTTACGTGATTCTACTTTATTGCAACCAAACTATTTCTTATGTATTGTATAGGCAAAGTGAAGATTTTGATGTTCAGGCAACAACAATAGAGAGCTTTTATGGCTGAACGGTTCTTTTATAAAAAGCTTATACCACTACTTTGCTAGTTGGGCGATGGATAAATAATGGTAGATTTGAAAGAAAACCCGGTTTATTGAAACCTTACAAGACAGAGCAAATGATTCAGAAAATTTAAAGGAAAACGTTTATTCGCGATCCTGCCCCACATGGGTATTATGTAAAAAAATCTACAAACTGTCATCTTGCAGATTAGGTACTTTTTATTGTGCAAATAATTCATTACACATGACCGCTGTGAGCGTCCATCTATAGAGACATTACTCCACGAGTCGACACGCCCAAGTCTGTTCCCTTGCATACATTTTGGTTGCAGAAAGCTGACGTAGTCTGTAGGGTTTATGTCTGAGAAGATGTGAAAGAAAGAAAGTTCTATATCATCTGTAAGGCGTAAGACCTTAAATTGCACCCATGTAAACTTCAACTAGTACAGGAATTGAAACCGCAGCACCACCATCTACGCCGTGCTTTTGTCGAAACAATGTTGGAGTGCTTTCCAAGTTTTAATAATATTCTCTTTCCTGATTAAGCTCATTTTCATTTGACTGGATTTGTCAACAAGCAAAATTACCGGTAAATATATTTAAAAAAAAATGAAATTCCCATGTGTCCACTTTAAAAATATAAATTATCTTCCCTGCACTTCGCTAGATTATACAGGGAGGCTATAGAGATACACAAACACAGGGACAACTTTAACAAAACGGAGAAATCACTGAAAGTACACAAAACTTGGCGTCATCCAAATGGCAAAACAACAGCCGAGTCATCCCGAGCTATGCTGAATGACGCAAGCTGCAGCGTGAGTGTAGCTAGAGGCTGCCCTCAGGGCGGAGTTCTGCCACCTCTACTGTGGTGTAACTCCTCGTTAGGCTCAGCAGTATGGGTGTCTACGCGCAAGCGTATGCTGATGACGAAAGCATAGTAGTTAAGGGGCGTTTTTGTAGAACAGTCTCGGAAATTATGCAGGGCGTTCTGCGCTCCGTGCAATCGTGGTGTAGGGAAGTCGATCTTTCTGTTAATGCTGAAAAGACCGAGCTGATCCTATTCACTAGGAGAAGAAGGCTTGACGGGCTGGTCATGCCGACCTTCTTTGGGTCTAGATTAGTTTTGTCCCAGTCAGTGAAATATCTGGGAATTATCCTGGATTGCAAACTGAACTGGAGAGAGCATGTGGAATACAAGGTTAGCAAGGCACGCAATTCGATGTGGGCTTGTAGACGTGTTGTCGGGGTAAGGTGGGGGCTTAAACCCAAAGTGGTATACCGGCTCTACACGACGATAGTACGTCCATCTCTCTTGTACGCCTCCCTGGTCTGGTGGCCTTGCATTAGAACTGAGACAACTAAGGCCAAACTCAATAAAATTCAGCGTTTGGCCTGTGTTAGTGTTACAAGCGCAGTGCGAACAACGCCATTGAGTGCAATGGAAGCTCTGTTGGATCTCCCACCGTTGGATCTGGTGATCCGCGGTGAAGCGAGAGTAGTCGCTCATCGACTGTGGAGTCAGGGCAGCTGGGCTTTCTTGAATCCTGTCAAGGGGCATACTGCCATCTTAGTCGAATTACAAAGGGAGGACCCCGTCTTTCTGGCTCTGGATTGCCTCGCTGCGAGGCATCCGGTATCGTTAATATGGGTACCGGGGCACGCTGGGATAAGGGGCAATGAGACGGCGGACACTTTGGCGAAGACAGGATCAGCCAGCAAGCTCGTTGCTCCTGAGCCAGCTCTAGGAGTGACCGCGCATAAAGCTAGTCGGAAAATGGAGACGTGGGTTGCAAGACAACACTCTCAGAAATGGAGAAGTATCTCCAGACATCTCCGCCAGGCACGAGAACTCATTCAAGGGCCCAGTGCTAAGGATGGACGCTTCTGCCTATCGCTGGATATAGCCAACCTAAGGTTGCTGGTGGGACTATTGTCTGGCCATAACACGTTAAGGCATCACCTGCACGTGATGGGGGTGGCTGAGGATCCCTTGTGTGAACGCTGCGGCGTAGGGGAAGAGACCTCGGCGCACGTTTTGTGTCGCTGTGAAGCTACTATAGGCAGACTATACTGGGGTCCATTACTTTGGACCCTCACCACGTCAAGGAGCTTGGACTCAAGGCGATTCTCAACTTCGCTAAAAGGGCGAGGCTTGTGATCTAAGGATTGTAGAGGTGCATACGGGTCCGCTTAAGCGGCCTATGCACTGGCTCCTTATGGTGGCCGGAATGCCTCTAATTTCAAGATTCATTCATCCCGAGCGCGACGCCATCCGACGATTTCCGAAGAGCTCTCCCCACCACTCGAGCCGCCACATAAATATGAGCCAAGACCGCGGAGATATCAGTAGCTCACAGGACTCCGAACTGTGAACACCTTCTGAAGATGCCAACCACTCGTGTTGGCGAAACGTCAAATAAAAATATTTTACGACGGCATTTCAAATGCAACTACATGTATAATTGTTTCCAGATCTACTCGTCATCAGCTCCAGTGGAACCGGCGAGCGCGAGCAGTTACGGTTCAACCCCTTCGACGCCCGTCTCATCGCCACCGCCGCTCGCACCGGCAGCGTGGCTCGCCGCCGCGGCGGCCAATCACGCAGGCGCCACGCCGCATTCGCCTCATTACGCACAGCCCAATGGGGCTCCTCAGGGATTACATATGGTGAGTGGTCGTAAATTCGTGCGACGATTTGTGTCGGTAGTGTAAGTTTGTGATTGCACTTAACATTTGCGCTGTTGAATGAATGCGTGAGAGGAAATAATACATTCTAATAGGCGAGTATACTATTCGTCAGAGCGGTCCGGTGGACCTTTGCTCTTAGTTAAAAGTCTCGTCTGGCTACCCAGACACCAAACATGTTTAAGGGGAAAAGGGAAAAAAGGAAGGAAGAAATAGAGCAAAGAAAAGATTTTAAATAGCTTAAGCATTATTGCTTTGATTACTCGAATTATTTTGTAACTCCAACAAATGATTTTGATCGGTTTTGTATACTGAAATAATTTTGGCTGGCCTGAATTTACAATTTAATTTTGATCACAGTGCGAGGCGCGGCCTGGAATGTTTGCGAACTTGATCGACTGTGTAGTCTACTGAATCACGCAACAGAGGGTTGCTGAGCGATTCCGCTTGATTATAACGCCGCTGCGCCTGTTGTTTTACGTAATCCCTTAAATATAGGATATCAAGATCTCGGTGAATAGTCACATTTGACACGTACCAAGGGGCGTTAATTGTGCGTAGGGTTCTGTTTTGCAGGACACCAAGCCGCGCATGCGTTGGTGATTTTAGGTCTTTGTTCATTTTGAACAACCGAATCTTGTTGATCAAACTTAATTTTGAATTTCTGCACAACAGAGGATAAAGCTGCCGAAAGGTAATTTGGAATTTTGTTTTCAAAATATCAGTGTGTTTCTGCCAGGTCAACCCCTTGTCAATGATGACTCCAAGATACCTGACAGATGACAAATGCAGATTGTCGATTGTACTTGGTTGCGGAAAGATCGCCTGCAATGCCTGAGCGGCGCTAATCAGGGGACTTATTATTTGTTGAAGGGACCTAAGCGCAGTTGCTAGGTCCACATTCTGCGTGTTCATAGTGGATTGAACAGAGGAGGCAACCGAAGATGTTGAGACGGCTGCTTCCGCGTGTGAGTTGCTGCGTCTTTGCGCTATGACTTCCAGATTTCGCCTGGGGATGAATCTGCAAGTGGGACTGTTAGCCGGATGCGCCCCTCCACAGTTCGCCCACTTTCGCTCCTCTTGTCCTGTGAGCGACCATAAATGTGTCATGTTCCTTTGGCAGCGGTGACACTGCTCAATAAGTCTAGAGTTCTTTTGCACTTCAACTCTGATTGCTAGACCCAGCAGCTCATGTTCATTGAACAGCCGCTGGGACTTTTCAATCTTGGGCAGTATCACGACCACCAAAGGCATGGGTGCGCCGCCGCTGCGTTTGAGTCGGATAATGTGGAGAGGAGTATATCCCCTCTGTTCTAATTCCCCTTTAATCTCCTGTTCCGAAAACATTGCGGGTATGCCTCTGACTACCGCTTGAATATTTCGTTCTGAAGGAAGAGGGAACGTATGATGGGGCACGTCCTCCTCCCTGAACAGGCGAACGATTCTTCGGTAGTCATCCTCAGTTTTCGGCAAAATCCTGATTCCCGCATCAACGGCAACTGCGCGTTCTTTTTTTTTTTTTTTTTTTTTTTTGGTGAGGGGGGAATGCATTTACGCACCATACCATAGCCCGAGCTACGGCGTGTGTGGGACTCCAGGGTCTTGAGGAGACCACCTAATACCCACTAAACCCTAAACCTCCGCGTGGTCCGACTCATCAGCGTCTCGGTAGGCCATGTGTTGTGCGTGACCTGCGGTCTGCTACAACGTCTCTTCATGTGTTTCAGTCTCTCGGAACGCCGGGTTGGTTCCATTTACCTCGCATATTCTATCGATGTCGTTAAGCGCTCATCGATAGAGGGTCTGCTAGGTTCTCTTGAAACTCGTTGTTTTCGAAAAATCAAGAGTTTCAAGTCCTCTTACCAATATGGTGTTCCTGGTCCTGGTCGTGGCGGGTCCTGGTCCCGGTGGTTCCTGGTCCTCTGCATCCACGCCGTGGAGGGGGGGAGCAACCGCGGGTTCTCCTAGTCTCCTAGTCAAGGTTTGAGTTAGCGGGTGCCAACTGGGACCTTGGTCTAGGGTATCTGGTTCTGCGGTTGCGAGGCCTCTCGTCCGGATCGTAGTCCATGAGGAATCGTAGCTGCTCGTTCGGGTGGTCCTGAGCTTTCTCGAAGGTCTTCTCCGCTTTTTTCCTCATGTACTCGTGGATGGTGTCCCAATGCAGGTCTCTACGCAAGGTTGAGTTTCTTACGTAGGATGGTGCACTGGTGGCGATCCGGAGTAGCTTCATCTCTAGAGCAGCAAGTCGCTTGCGGTAGCTGGGGGCAGCGTACCCCCAGACCGCGGAGGCGTAAGCGAGCTGAGGTCTGGCGATGGCCTTGATCAGCCGTAGCTTGGTCGCTAGCGGCATCCGGCTGTGTCTACCCAGTAATGGGTAGAGTTGAGCCATGGCTGCTCTGGTCTTTGCGATGACAGCTTCTATGTGGGCTTTCCAGGTGAGGGACTTGTCAAATACGATCCCCAGATATTTGACTTTGTCGCTCCACTGGATATCTTCGTCGAAGATGGATGCTTCGAGAGGTCTTGCAATCCTTCTTCGTTGAATGAAGATTGCCTGCGTCTTCTGGACGTTGATGCGGATTTTCCATTTCACGCACCAGTCCTGGATGTGGTCCAGTTCATCCTGTAGTCTCCTACGGATGATCTCGGGTCGTCTATGCTTGGCGGCTATAGCAGTGTCGTCTGCATATAGGGCCAGCATTGTGTCAGCTGTCTTCGGCACATCGTGAGTATAGATGTTGTAGAGCAGGGGGGCTAAGGCTGACCCCTGGGGCACGCCTGCTTCCAGCTGTCGTCTTGTTGAATGGCATGTACCAATCTTCACCGTGAACCATCTTTGTGTTAGATAGCTCTGGATCAGTTGGCACATGTTCGCATCAATTCCGGCGGCTTCCATTTTGGCGATGAGTCCATCGTGCCAAACTCGATCGAAGGCTCGTTCCACGTCCAGCAGGACGAGACCGGTTGCCTCCTGGAGATTGAAGCCGCTGGTGATGTTTTCCGTCAGTCGTAGCGCTTGGAGTTCCGTGTTGTGGGAGGATCTGAAGCCGAATTGCTCTGGGGGGAGAAGTTGCAGTGCGCGTTCTATCTTAATGCCTAAGCTTATAAAGGTGTAGTTTAGATGTCGCCACTTGGTCGCATCACGCAAAACAATGGGCGTGATTCGCCCCTCGCGGGGTGCTGTGCTGGCCAACTCACCAGCAACGTGAGATTGTCGAGATAATGCAGTGGACAAAGATTGAGAAGATGTGGTCGCTGCATCGACCGTCATAGGACAAGTGGCAGAAGAAGTTGATACGTTTAATAAAGCAGACGGTTTTGAGGGGACTGTCAACTTGAATTTTGATTTTGCTTCTGGAAGAGGTGGGAAGTCATCCGTCTTGTCGGTTTTGTTCGTTTTGTCGATGCGTCCTTTCCTAGACTTGGCCTGGATGCCACGTCAGTTAGATTTTCAAAAGGTCTTTTTAAATTGACAGTCTTGTCAGATTTAGAATTAAAATTTGCATTACTGATTAACTGTGTTACCTGGGTGGTCAGGCAGTCTATTTTACTGTTTTGGTCCCTAACTGTCTCAGTCAGCTCCTTTATTTGCTGGGCCTGGCTTTCGATGATCAGGGTCTGGCGCTGGATGGTTCCGTCCTTTTCGTCTGCTACAGCTGGTGTCATCAATTCCTTTGATTTCTTGGTAATTTCTGTTCTCTCCTTCTGGCTGGGTCCATTCATCATCGGGGACCCTGGGGGATCATTACTTTGACCTCCAGAGTCTATCTCCATGTTTTTAAATCGGGTTTCCTATTGAAAAACTCGAAAACTTTCACGAGCAAAAATATGACGTATTGTCAATTATCCCTTATACAGGGCAGTCTAATAGGCGAGTTATATAGCGAAAGCCACTCGTATATCTTAATATAAAACAGCAATGTTACGGTTTTACAATCCGCAAAAAAAAAACGAGTACCATCAAAATTTTAAAGTCAATGATGTACCGCTGCTAAGTGAATAATGTAAAGTTTTTGGGATTTATTTAGATTTACACTACCGTTCAAAAGTATTTGAACACCCAGAAAACAAGGAAACTGATGGAAGTTATTAAAGAAAACATTACAATATCTGTATGAAACATTTATTTTCTTAATTCTTAGCAACATACAACTATTTGTAATCAAAATTATCATATTATCATATCATATTATTATATTTTTGACTCATCAATATGTCCTCCTTTACATTTAATTACAGCCTGGCAAATGATGGGTAAACGCGCAACTCATTTGTCTAAAGTAGATGGGGTTATTTTTCGTCATTCGTCTTGTAGTATTCTCCAAATTTCCTATTATGCCTAATGATTTGATCCCAATAATTTTGTGAGCTAAATTTCGATTTTAATGACCTTTCAGTGATGCTTGATTTCCATGGTGACGGGTTTCAAGAAATACGTGCTGAATATTTTTTTTTGTTATGATTGTGAATGGAAATATGCAGGTATTCAAATACTTTTGAGCGGTAGTGTAGGTTGCAATATTAAAGCACACCGTGGTGATGTTGTTACAAACCTAAATTTGCAGGCTCTTGCAATGAGAAATCAGATGCATAATGTGCGGCGGTGTCGTCACTGACACAGGATAAATATTTATATATTTTAGCAATATTTGGATATCAGGATTACATACCACTTTAGCGTTCTGCGATGCTCTTGGAAATGACCACTTAGCTGTTTTCATGTCTACTCATGTATTTTTCCGAATTTTATGATCCTTGAATGCACCACAAATTTTGCTTAACCTTCAATTTGTGTTACTCCGCCCAGCATGGTTCTATCAATATTTCGTCAAGTAGATTGACTCAGTACTTATGACGCACTGATGCATGTATGATGCCGATATCTTTGAGCAGCAGACAATTTTTGAACAGAAGTTCAAATATTATTGAGTTCGATACTTCCATCGTTTAGATAGTCGTAGATTTTAAAAATTGATTTAGATGCGGCGGAACATAGTGTTACAACGTTTGAGAGGTTTCTCTTTTATGTCTACTCATGTATTTTTCCGAATTTGATGATCCTTGAATGTACCACAAATTTTGCTTAACCTTCAATTTGTGTTACTCCGCCCAGCATGGTTCTATCAATATTTCGTCAAGTAGATTGACTCAGTACTTATGACGCAGTGAAGCATGTATGATGCCGATATCTTTGAGCAGCAGAAAATGTTTGAACAGAAGTTCAAATATTATTGAGTTCAATACTTCCATCGTTTAGACAGTCGTAGATTTTAAAAATTGATTTAGATGCGGCGGAACATAGTGTTACAACGTTTGAGAGGTTTCTCTTTTATGTCTACTCATGTATTTTTCCGAATTTTATGATCCTTGAATGTACCACAAATTTTGCTTAACCTTCGATTTGTGTTACTCCGCCTAGGATGGTTCTATCAATATTTCGTCAAGTAGATTGACTCAGTATTTATGACGCACTGAAGCATGTATGATGCCGATATCTTTGAGCAGCAGAAAATTTTTGAACAGAAGTTCAAATATTATTGAGTTCAATGCTTCCATCGTTTAGATAGTCGTAGATTTTAAAAATTGATTTAGATGCGGCGGAACATAGTGTTACAACGTTTGAGAGGTTTCTCGTTTATGTCTACTCATGTATTTTTCCGAATTTTATGATCCTTAAATGTACCACAAATTTTGCTTAACCTGCAATTTGTGTTACTCCGCCTACGATGGTTCTAGCAATATTTCGTCAAGTAGATTGACTCAGTACTTATGACGCACGTATGATGCCGATATCTTTGAGCAGCAGAACATTTTTGAACAGACGTTCAAATATTATTCAGTTCAATACTTCAATCGTTTAGATAGTCGTAGATTTTAAAAATTGATTTAGAGGCGGCGGAACATAATGTTGCAACGTTTGAGAGGTTTCTCTTTTATGTCTACTCGTGTATTTTTCCGAATTTTATGATCCTTGAATGTACCACAAATTTTGCTTAACCTTCAATTCGTGTTACTCCGCCTAGGATGGTTCTATCAATATTTCGTCAAGTAGATTGACTCGGTACTTATGACGCACTGATGCACGTATGATGCCGATATCTTTGAGCAGCAGAAAATTTTTGAACAGAAGTTCAAATATTATTGAGTTCAATACTTCCATCGTTTAGATAGTCGTAATTGATTTAGAGGCGGCTGAACATAATGTTGCAACGTTTCAGAGATTCCTGCTCAGTTTTTTTTTGTTTGGAGCGGATGAAAATTGTTGTATATTTGGTGATAGTGAAATACCTTCTAGTAATTTCCCTACATCTGCCATGGAAACCGAAATATGACAGGTTTGCTTTACAATTTTGATCGTATTTAAGTGAACCTACCTAATCACGATTCGATTTCGCCTTTTGAAAGGATTTTTTTTTTGAAACCTCCAACAAAAGGCTATGAAGTATAGAGTCAATCTACTTGACTCCAAAAGTGAAGCTGTATCGGTTTTGGTTAAAAAATGAAGCTATATTCGAATGTTTTCAAAAAAATACAAGTTTATTTGTTTTATTTGCTTGCATTTTGAATTATTTTGATTTACTTTTGCATGGTTTTTACTTATTTTTATTTTTGTATGAAATGAAGCCGCCTGCCCCAGAAGCACAGCAGCGTTTAGACGATGCTATTGGTTTCCTAAGGGACCATGCTGAGGCAACGGTGAGTTTTTTGTTTTTTTTTTACTTTTTCGTTAAATTTTATTTTAATTTTCCACATAACAATGTTTTTGTTTGACAATAGCATATAGCATGATCTAAAATGCATTTATGAAGATTATTGATTACGATCTCGGTAACATCACTATTCTGGACAAATAAATACTAGAAAAGTTAAATCGTCAGGTTTAAACAGGTCGTTTCCTAAGGGATTACTTAAGCATTTTTTACAATTATTAAACGCTTCCCCCTTGTCAGCAAAAGTAAGCAAAATTATTAACCGATCCTCCTTCCACGTACATGCTCTTAATACCATTTAATTTCTGTAAAATCAGAAAGTTTTGGCTCTTCCGATCCATTATATCATATCAAATCAGCCAGTTCCCGACTACGAGGGGCCATATTATACTATAACTATCTAAAACTGTAATGACTCATCGATGTTCACGTGAACATCACTTAACTACCAGTAGTCGGCTGTTCATAGGCGGGGTATGAATGTTTAACATGGGTGAACTAGATTTGTCACATGCTTAATAAAGAGTGGTTTGAAACATATTGTAAGTCAAAAATTTGGGAATTACCTTTATTCATCGTCGCTTCCACTTACATCTGACAGTAATAAACTGTCGCTATCGCTTTCCTCGTTGAAATTGACTATAACTGGCTCTATGATGGTGTCGATGTGGTGGTCAAGCTGCCACATTTTTGTTTCTTCCTTCACAACATGACGGATAGCATTCTGCCAAGCTTCGGGCGTTACTAGCTGTATGGAAGTCTGAAGTAAAACCTTAACGTCTGGTAATTTGAAGGTTGTGTTATGGCGCGCAATATAACCCTTCACTTGAGCCCAGATGAGCTCTATTGGGTTCAGTTCGCAGTGGTAGGGCGGTAACCGCAGCACAGTGACACCACATTGACGAGCCATCTCATCAGTCACGTAACTAATGTTCGCAGGTTTGTGCTGTTTAATTTTTTCATACAATTCCGCTTTCACACATGAATCGTCAAACGCGATTCCTTTTTCGCGCAACCATTGCTGCATGTCACTTTTTCCGGTACACGTTCGGCTCGACGACTATGGTAGGAAGCATTATCCATGACGACCACAGAGTTGGGCTCAACTCGCTGAAGCACCCCTTGAAACCAGGTCTCGAAGCAGCTTTCATTCATTTCGTCATGGTAATCACCTCCTTTCTTAGAGACGAAAATCAAGTCACACTCTTCTAAAAAGCCACTATCGCTACCAATATGAGTTACGATCAATCTTTGACCTTTCCCTCACGGTCCACGAAGACCTGTTGACAAACCTTCAATGCTTGCTTGTCGGTTACTCACTACGTTTTTGTCTATCCAGGTTTTTTTAACTGTGTGACCTGCATTCACCCATGTCTCGTCCAAATAATAGATTTTTCTGCTTTGTCGCCTATATTCAATCACTTCGCGTAGGTATTTTCGACGCCAGGCGAGTATTTCAGGTCTCTCTATCAATACTGACTTCCGATTACGCGTTTCGTAACGAAAATTAATTCCGTGCAGGGATTTCCTCATTACCTCGACGCTCATTTGGGGTATAATTTCATTTTCCTTGATCGCGGCATGTACAGCCTTGAGGGTTGGTATCTCATTCCTAAAGAAGAATCAATGTACGGTTCGCCTTAACGCCATTTTGCTATCGTCATCCAATTTAACGGCCTTTCGTCCCTTCAAATTAAACTTTGGATCAGTAGTAGCTCCAGTTTTCTTCTTTTCATGCACCACCCTGCGAATGGTCCACTCTGGAACGCCTGTCATACTTTCACAACGCGCGAGTGCATCTCCCTGCGACATAGTTCTGTTCAGATAATTGAACACGTTGAGCACGATTTCTTTCGCGTCCCTTTTCAGTGCTTTACGAAGCCGTCTTCTTGTTCGCTGGCTTTCAGTACTTCCACTCGTGCCATTTGTACTCTCCATGGTTAAGTATAACCAAAACAGTAACCACAGAAACCACAACAATATCAATCACACAACAATTCTTATAAAAACACACAATATGCGATCGCTCAACGAAACACGTTCCAATGCGTTGCCGACGCCTATGAGTCTGCCGGTCGAGGCGCGTCTTTGATTTCATTGGTTCTACCGGCGGAGAACAATCAGCCATTATTTCCATCTCTGTCTGTGCTGTTGACCACCGCAAAGCCACAGAAACGACATATGTCGTACGCTATACGGCTGTACTGGAAGGAAGCCGGGATCGAGCTCTGATCACGTGTTGATCACGCGTATGAGTCATTACAGTTTTAAATAGTTGTAGTATAGGTTATATGCATTTCTACCAGAGCACATTTATAGCTAAGTTTATAAGCGAGTAAGCATATCCATAATTGGCGAATTCCTAGGGATGGCAAGCACGTCCGCCTTAGCCTTTGGAGTAAGTGGTGGAATACCGGTTTGATTGTGTATAGTCTGTGTATTGGCTAATTTGTCACTGAGTCTTTTCAGTAACGATTGCAGTGATTTTAATGGAAGAGTAAGATGACGTAGACAATGCGTGTTCATGGCATCATTCCCTTCCCATTAAAATCGTTGCAATGGTCACTGAGGGTACTTAGTGACAAAATGGCTAAGAGTCAGACTGAATGGGTGAGTGAGAAGTTCCTTCCAATCTGCTTGGCAAGCATCCAGACAAACATAATTTTGTAAAAAATCCAAAAAAGTTTTTTTTTTTTTTTTTTTTTTTTTTTTTTTTTTTTTTTGGCTTTAGGACTAAGCCATGCAGCCAGAAACTAGGTTGTATATAGAATATATCTAATTATGTACAAACACACGACGTCACAACATCCATGGCGAAGGCGAGATTCGAACTCGCGACCCGGCTGGCCGGCTGATCAGTAGCACGACACTCTGACCCACGCGGCCAACCGCGGTCCCAATCCAAAAAAGTTGAAAAATGTTTATTACCAACGTAATCACCGTTTCCAGCGTCATCAAAAATAACCAAAGCAAAGACCCTTGAGTGCTTTAGTAATGTTTGAATTATTGTTCCTAAATGGGCAGAAGTTGAAAGGAAAAAAGTACCTTTTTGACACGCTTTTATAAGCTTGACCTGTATGTATATATGTACAGTAACGGACAAAAGTATATAGACAAATTAATATTGTGCTGTATTTCTTTTTTAACTTGTTTTATTAATACACGAACCTGTATACATAATTCGTTATAGCATAACTTATACATAAATAAATTCATTAGACTCCCTTCAATAAAAAATTAATTGAAAAAAACTGGAACTATGAAGGGCAAAAATATATATACAAAGCATAACATTTATAAAAAAAAGAAACAAAGTTCATTGAATTATAGCAAACCAACCATGTTTGTGTTAATATTTTGTAGCATAACCATTATTATCAATCACCGCCTGGCATCGTCTCGGCATAGATTGTAGAAGTTTCTTGATGTAAGATTCATCAATCTGTCTCCACTTTTGCTCTAAAGCGGCAAAAAGTTCATCCTTGTTTGAATAATTTTTATCTCGTATTTGCTTATCTAAGTATTCCCATAGATTTTCAATGGGGCTTATATCGGGAGACTGTGAAGGCCATTTGAGAACTGGTATTTTTTCATCCAGAAAGAATTTCTTTGCGAGTTTTGAGGTGTGCTTCGGGTCATTATCTTGCTGGAAGATTGATCTTAAGGGCATATTGTCTTCCATTGAGGGTAACATGACATGCTTTAGTATGTTTGTGTATACAAACTTATCGATAATGCCACCTATTCCCAGACCCCGAAAAGCAGCCCCAAACCATGACAGACCCGCCTCGATGTTTGACAGTAGGCAAAATGTACTTGGGGTTCAATCTTTGTTCACTAGGACGTCTAACGTAATGAACACCATCTGATCCAAACATAATGAACTTGGATTCGTCACTGAAACATACCCTCTTCCAGTCACAGATGCTCCAATCAAGATGCAACCGTGCAAATTGTAATCGGTCCTTATGGTTTTTCCTCGGGATTAGCAGTTTCTTACTTGGGCAACGTGCAAATAACTTCAAATCATTTAATCTTCTACTTATAGTTTTCGTAGAAACACTGGCAATTCCTTTTTTCTCGATTTGGGCTTTGATTTGTCTTGGGATCTTTGAACGAAATTACTTATATTAATTTAACTGATCTAGCAAGTTTTCTAGGCCGACCACTTCTCTTAAAGGCTTCCAAGATACCTTTTTTTTATATTTGTTCAACATGCTTTACGCTTCAGCTTCAAATTTTTGGCAATGTCGACTTGACGTTGACCATCTTTGTATAACTCAATGATCTTAGTTTTCACATCGAAAGAAATTTCTGGACCACGCGGCATGGTCTTAAAATCACTCAACTTATTCCACAATACTTGATGAAAACAAACTAATCCTCTTCTGACACGAAACTGTACCAAACTAATGTTGAAAAGAATTTGTCTACATATTTTTGTCCCTCATAAAAAAGTGCTTATATTCAGACTTGTATTGTGTTCTTTGCAGATCATGTAAAAACAAGTTTTTCTATTAATAACGCATTTGTTTATGGAGCAATGCAGTATGAATTCGTTTTCTAAACGTATTTAGGTAAATATTCATATTTGTCTATATACTTCCATTACTGTATGTATGTAAAGGAATCTTTGAGTACAATTTTCACCAATTTCAAGAAGCTTGAATAATTTGAAAATTTGCATATCTATCAAGGACCGATAACAATTCAATAATTTGATAACAGTTTTCCATCGCCAGGATTGCTAAATTCTTTTATAGATCCTCTGTATGATAGTAAGAGGGATAGAGCTAGCGCGCGATCTGCGCATGCGTGCATATTCGAACTTACTCTGTGTTGATTCGGGGACTCGGCACACCACAACGGAGGCGGATACTTTTTCAAGGTAGTGCATAGGCTGCTAGACAAGCTTATGTAAGATCTTTAGATGGTATTCGTATTGAAGAACTTGATTGCTCCGAGTTCACAGAAAAAAACATATGCAACAGTGAAGCTTTAAATGAAATGATTAGATTACGAAATGATTTCAATACCACAAAAAATAAATCGAACTAAAAAATGAAAAATAAATAGTATTTTGAAAAAACTAAAAAAAAACAACATGCTTTCATAGCTAACCGATTTAAAAAGTAGAAAATAATTTTTAATTACAAAGAGTTTATATTACAGTAGAAGATGGCCGAAGAATCAATCATAATTAATGACCTGAAAATAAAATTATAATAAAATTTAAGGTATTAACAGAATAATTCAAATCAGAGTAAAAAGCGTGTGAAGCATTTTCATAACTCTCTTCTCATAGATTGTTGCTAATAGAATAATTGTAACATTTAATATATCAATCGCCCCATATTTTTACTTTGAATTATTCTGTTAATAACTTAAATTTTATTATAATTTTATTTTCACGACATGATTGATTGTTCGACTACTGTAATATAAACTCTTTGTAATTAAAAATTATTTTCTACTTTTCAGTTCGGTTAGCTATAAAAGCGTGTTTTTTTTAGGTTTTTTAAACTATTATTTATTTTACAAATACAATCAATTGGAGTACTATTGTTACAGGGCACCCGCATGGAAGAAAGACTGGACGACGCCATAAACGTGTTGAGGAACCACGCCGAATCCCAACTGGGCCTGGTCGGGCAGCTACCGAGCAACCTAGCAGCCGCCCATCAAATGACACAGCTCGGGTACCCAGTGCCGCCACCTCCTGACACTCATCTACCCGATCCTATCAAAGTGGAAAGGCCTACTTACAACACAAGTGAGTGCGAGCTTCAGTTACGAGGGTTGTTTCTAAAACACGGTTCCGCATTTTTTTCAGACACAAGGAATTTTTTATTAGAAAAACGAATTCACCATTGGAAACGTTGATTAAGTTATTTTTCTAGCTATTCTTCTCTTTCAGAATTTGCTATCTCGTAACTTTGTCACATCATAAAAATGGATTTTGAACATGTTTAGGCAGTATCTTTATTCTTCTTCTTGGAAAATAGCCAAAGAAAAAATTCAAAAAGAGAAAAATTTACTCCACAAAAATTTATTTTGTTTGTTGAAGATTTATTTACCATTAATGCTACAATGTCAATTTTGCATAATTACTCGTTTACTCATTTTTTGAATCCATTTTCGGTGATTTTACATTCTGGTCTATTAAAATTACATCACTGAGCATTTTGAGTATTCATAAAGTGATTTTTCAATTTCATCTTAAACATTTTTAAATTCGAATACGGTTTAATATCATTCAATTTATTGAATTTAAATACTCTCTCGCAAAATACAAATTTGCTAGATATGCTACTATTACAATTTTGTAGATAAAAATCTATACTGCCTCTAGTTTCATACTTATGATAATGACTATTCAAATTTGAGAAGTCTTCTAAATGTGGTGGTATTGAATGATTTTTTCAATTTGAATTTGAAAATAATAATAATAATAATAATAATAATAATAAATGTCTTTATTAATCAGCATACATCAGTGAGGCGAAGTTTAGCCAAATGGCTACTCTTACACTTAACCTCACTGTGTACGAAAGAGTAACACAGTTAAACTCGATACACAAACAAACAATGGTAATAATAAGAAAAAGAAACAAATGCACACTTGAACTATTAATATAATAATAATAATAATAATAATAAAGTGTCATAAAAATAAAACAAACCAACAACTCAAACACTGAGAGACGATTGCATCTCCAATAGCTGTTTTCCAACTGATTTCTTAAAAGAGAGTAAACTTTCTTGTTTGTTAGCCGCACTGACTGAATTGTAAAGCTCAACAGCATTATACGTGAAAGATCTCTGATATAATGAGGTGTAGTGAAGAGGAATATTGAACTGTTCATCATGACGTAACCTTCTTGAAATTAAATTCCTACGCGGAACTAACTTATTTGCAAGGTAAATAGGTCTCTTGGTAACGACTGTTTTATGTACAAAAACCAACATATGAAACTTGAGAAGATTATTGAGCTTCAGCCACCCCAGCTCACAGATCTTGGATGTAACATGGCTATACCTACGAAGGCCGAAAACAAAACGACAACAACAATTTTGAATTTTCTGCAATCTGGTTTTTGTTATGGAGTCAAGACAAGGATAAAACAGTATAAAACAGTAAAGCAGCTTAGACATAACTAAACTTTCCACCAATTTCTTTCTAGTCTTGAAATTGAGAATAGAACGATTGGAGTATAGGAGTCTTAGGCTTGCATATGTAGCTTTAGATATATTACTGACGTGGTGATGAAATCTAAGATTTACGTCTAAAGTAACACCTAGACTTTTTGCATGCGTGACGAGTGGAATATGGTCATTATTTACCCTCAAATCAATCATCCTTTCAAAATGTTCATAGCTGGTTTTGGGACAGAACAACACCGCAAAACTCTTGGTAGGATTGAGCTTCAAACAGTTAGCCTTGCAATAGTCAGTTATATTTACCAGATCTAAATTTATTTTATACGAAGCTTGATCCACATTAGTAGAGTCAAAAGTGAAGGTCAATTGTGTATCGTCTGCGTAAGTATGAATACTACAAAACTGTAATACAGTATGCAAGTCAAAAGTATAAACTAAATATAGTAAAGGACCAAGCACGGAACCCTGAGGAACACCAGAAGCAACATCGGCACAAATGAGAACTAAATAACATGAAATTTTTTAGGAATATGAAAAAATGGTGAAGAATTATTGTGTTAGTCACATTTTCTTTTGCAATACATACTAAGATTATGGGAAACTCTATAGAAGTAATATTTTTAGTATAAATGTAGTATAAAAGGAGGTCCAAATCTATGTCATATGCAAGTTACTTATAATTCTTCTATGATATAATTCCAAACAATAAATATCAAAAGACAAGATTGAAATCGAATAGAAATCCTAGTGAATATCTTTTAAAAATGGTTATGAAGGAATATTCCAACATTATTGGAGAGACGTTATTGTTAGTGAATCACTGTCTAGTGTATGGCGAATTTCCTTCAAAATTAAAATGTTCTACAATTATTCCTGTTCCAAGAGTGCAAAATTCTGAATTATATACAAACATGCGGCCAATGAATGTACTGCCAGATGTCGAGATGCTCTTAGAAGGAATCATATATGAACAAGTCATTTTAAATATATCGAAGAAAATACGATATTGACAAAATTTTACGCAGGATACAGGAAAAAGTATTCTACTGAAACAGCAATTCAAATGGTAATAGAAGAATGGAGGCGAAATATATAATATAATAATATATATATATATATAATATATAATAATTAAATAATAAATTGTTCTTAGATTTCAAGAGAGCATTTGAGACTATTGTTAACGAACTTGCATTGCTATGGATTTCAAGGTTCAGTATGCAACTTATTACAAAATTATTTAATCAATAGAACTCAAAGAACTGAAATCGGCAACACATTGTCAAACATTAATGGCATTTCGGTAGGTGTGCCACAGGGTAGCAAATTAGGTCCATTACTATTTATTTTATATATTAACGATATTCCTGATACACAACACTGCAAAATTCAACTATTTGCTGATGATACATTAATAAATATGTCAAATAAAGACATTGAAACTGCAATAAAACTGTTTAATAATGATATGAAAAATATAATAAATTGGTTAAATGTAAATAAACTTAAACTAAACACAAACAAAACAAAATATAAGCTAATAGGAAAATCGTTAGATCAAAATACGATAAATCTTACAATTAATCACGAAAAAATTGTGTCAATCGAATCATTTAAATGTTTGGGCATATACGTAGACAGTAAATTAAAATTTGAAGGGCACTATGAATATATTATTTCAAAAATGTCCAAGAAAATAAATTACTTTTATAGAATTTCGCTTAGCCTAAGCGTTTATTCTAAAAAAAATTGTGTACAACACTATCATTCTTTCTCATTTATTATATTGTTCGACTATTTTGTTCACTGCAAATGAGACTGTAATTTCAAAATTACAAATATTACAAAATAAAGCTACGAGAATCATCTTAAATAAAAATAAATATACTAGAGTAAATTTTAGGCTGAAAGAGCTACAATGGTTAAATATCAAAAATTTCATAGCCTACTTGGTTTTCATTTTCATATACAAGTAACCAAATCACTTAGAAAATTTTATTGTATTGAACAATGAGTGCCACAATTATTCTACTAGAGGAAGTATAGACTTTCATTTACAAAACTGCAGCAGCAATATAACGAGCAAGTCAGTATTTCAAAAGGGATTGTACGAATTTAATAAATTGAGTAATGATATCGAGATGTGTCAGTTTGAAAATGTTCAAAGCGAAATTGAAAAAATATCTCATGGAAAACCAGAAGTCATGGTAGTGAAATTTTGTATAAAAATATGTAGTCTTGAAGACATAAAATATTTTGTGAGATATACCGTGTAATAGGATATTATAAAAATTGTAGCATTAATGCTAAATAAACCTGAAACAAACAAACAAAAATAATGCTCTTGAAAAAGTAGTTTATTATTTCACATATACGTTGAACTTTTAACACAGGAGTAATGGTGAAACACTTTAATTTTATATAAAGTCATTTTTCCAGAAGTAATTTTTGCGTTTGTATCTTGACTCATTTTTGTCAACTTTAGGCTGAAATCTGAAATTTTTGCGCCTATTGGCGATCAGAAGATTCCACTTGCCTTCTTTCTGCATTTTCCATCCTCCTCGGTTTAATAATTTTAAACCCAATAAGAATGTATCTCGAATTTTACAGAAAAACGAAAAGAACCTCCAGACAGTGACACGAAACCATCGAGTTCTGTAGACAGCATACCAGGACAGCCCAACGCTGCAGGCGCAGGATCGCAAAAGACGAAACGCTCAAGGAGATAGTAAGTTATCCAATATGTCATTTAATTTTCATCTTTTACCAATCATTTGAACTTTAAATAATGGCAGCTCAGTTTATTATTTTGAATACCAGCAATATCTTAGATGCAAAGTTGAACTGAATATTTTTCGTCTTTGTAATCATAGCCAACCACAACTTTGTCATGCTTTTTAGCAATCGACTGGTTAGGCCTTACTCGTAGACAAACGGAAAACATCAGGCGGTTATGGCCTATTAAAAAACTCGGTATGTTGTCCATCTCCACGGTCTATACCTTACTGATGCTTGCTAAAAAGCATGCAACGAAAGTTGTTATGGTTACAAAGATGGATAGCAATGTTTTCTATATGATGCAAAAGGCGGTGAACCAAAATACCTTTTTTGCCATTCAGGACCAAACCTAAAGCAACACGTATGGTCCACCTGCGGGTATCAGGCAAATCCATTAGATTTTTCTTCTGAAGCATACATAATAGATTCAATTTCCCTTCTGCTTGGAATCGCGAGCGGGGAAATTTTGATTCACCACCGCAGTTGCTACTTCATTGTGGCGAATAAAGATACCACTTTTACACTAAAAAAAATCAAGTTTACAAGAATACTACGTGTTATTGTTTTTACCTTGGATTCTGATATGGCTTACATGATACTTTTGAGGTGCAGATGTACCACTTCTCAACAACATTAAGGGATCAAGAAAAATCCAATTTTTTTCGGTGATATTTGACAGGCTTTATTTCAGTGAAAAATGGTCGTATCTAAAGTCTATAAAAAGCATTTTGAAGCTTCAAGTTTCTAAATTCCAGGTTTTTTTGCAGAACAATTTTAGGAGCCACGGTTCTCGTGCAATTCTAACAGATAACTCAAGAATTTTTTTCACAAAACATCTGCTTTCTTTTTAGTCCACGGGCTTGAAAAAAACGTTTTCTTTTAACCCATCATATGGATTAGCTAGCCCGTTTATTCAGCTTCAATATCCTGTTTTTGAAATCTCAATATAATCATTTCGCACCTAGATATTTGAATTTGAATGAAAAAGGATCCTTTTGTCATCGAGCACTAATATCTTGGTAACCTGTGATCACACAGCGAACGTAAGGGTATTTACCGACAATTGGAATAAATTTCCTGCAAGATATGACAGCAATATTTGAGTTTTTTTTGTTTCCCGAGTGTCGATTTAAAAAATGTAAAAAAGTGACTTTTTGCATGGTTTTGGAAAATCGACCGCATTTTTGGGACTGCAAATGAGAGGATGTACCCCTGCTCGACGACAGATCGATTCATTATGTTTCTCCGGACCGATTGGTAAAAATTTGAAAAAATCAAATAAGCAAAATTTTTGCATCAATTTATTTTTTAATCTGGTTCAAAACGGAAAAATCAGTTTTCTTCTTTTGCTGTCACTATTGGATATCTGTAACTCAGTCATTTAAAAAAAAACACAATTGGTAAAGTTTAATATTTCTATTCATGGAATATTAAAAAAAACAAAAATACTGACCAGGGGCGGATCTAGAACATATTTTTTGAGTCCTGTTGCTCCTAAAATTCTTCGGCTATAAAACCTGAAAATTCAAAAATGCTTTTTTTTAAGGCTAGATACCACCATTTTCCACTAAAATACAATCGATAAATTTGGATTTTTTCTTACTCCCTTAATTTTTATCGAGGAGTGTACATCTAGTCAGACATTCAAAAGTAAACATTTTCGCCTGAGATCTTATATTAAAGAAATTACTTACCTTGGGTGCTGATAAAGCTTATAACATGGTGCTGTTGATGTGTAGATGTACTACAGTACTACTCAACAAAATTTAGGGAGAAAAAATCCAAATTTGTCTGATCTTTGACTACAAAAAGCATTTTGAAGCTTCAAGATTCTTAATTCCAGGTTTTCTTGCAGACAAATTTTAGGAGCAACGGTTCTCGTGCAATTCCAGCAGATAACTGAAGAATTTTTTTTTGCAAAACTTCTACCTTCTTTTTAGTCCACGGGTTTGAAAAAATTTTATATTTTAAGCTATCATATTGATTGGATAGTCCGTTTATTCAGCTTCAATATCCCGTCTTTTAAATCTCAATACAATGATTTGACGCCGAGATATTTGAATTTGAATGACATGTCATCGAGCGCTAATATCTTGGTAACCTGTGATCACACAGAGAACGTAAGGGGATTTCCGACAATTGGAATAAATTTCCTGCAAGATTTGATTGCAATATTTGACGATTTTTTTTTTGTTTCCTTAGTGTTGATTTAAAGAATGTAAAAAAAGTTACTTTTTGCATTGTTTTGAAAAATCGACCGCATTTTTGGGACTGTTAATGAGAAGGATGTACCCTTGATAACCCTGCTCGACGACAGATCGATCCATTATGTTTCTCCGAAAAAATCAAAGATGCAAAATTTTTGTATCAAATTATTTTGTAATCTGGTTGAAAATGGAAAAATCATTTTTCTTCTTTTGTTGTCACTATTGGATATCTGTAACTCAGTCAATTAAAAAAAACACACAATTGGAAAAATTTAATGGAATATTGAAAAAAAAATATCGACCAGTGGCGGATCTAGAAAATATTTTTTGAGCCCGTGGACTGAAAAAAGAAGGCAACATTTTTTCAACAAATTTTTCTGTTACAATTGCATGAGGATTGTTGCTCCTAAAATGTTTCGGCCAAAAAACGTGAAAACACAATGCTTTTTTAAGTCTAGATACCGCCATTTTTCACTTGAATACGACCGACAAATTTGGAGTCAGAGGTAGTTAGTCGTTTATAAATCACATTAAAATGATGCCATAGAGGTGAACATGACAAAAATCGATGTTCTTTTAAATTGTCTTGCTCAATAAATGCATCTTCTAAGACATTTTATATTGGTACAAAATTATTCTTCATAAGAATACGAAGTACATATCATAAAAGGTATTTTTTCTCTGACCTAAAAGATTTATGTATGTTTAATTGTACATCTACAGTTGTGCTGTTGCAATTAAAGCAATAAACTGCGTTTGTCATAATTTCTGTTGTAAAAATACTGTTATCCTGAGTAGTTGTCCAAGTAATACCGATGAAGACGAAACCGAAGACCCCACCAACAAGGCCGTACGCGAAAGAGAGCGTAGACAGGCAAATAATGTCAGGGAACGGTATGTAAAAACAACAATATTATTACAATTTATTATTAATACATGGAATTGGAAATTTTCTATGGTACCAATGTTATTATCGTATTTGTTGTAATAGCCTGTTGTATATTTTGGGTACAGTATGTGTCATGTGATGTGTATTTGAACACCATAAAAAAATCATTTATTAGTACTCTAGCTGCGGAAAAATTCTTCAAGATAATTTATCTTTGGATTTGTTCGAATGACGCGTCGTTAAACACCTCAAATCGCCATATTTCCATTTTGGTTAGATCAGGAAAATATGGGTTTCATTTCGAACAATAAGTAGATCAATTAGACTTTTTTTCCATTTTTTTTTTTGTTTATGAGATTGAAATATTTATTTGATTGACAAAATGAACCGTAGGTACCACCAAGATGTTTCTAGGTTCCACGTGACCAGTTTAGTTAGTTTCAGTATTCACATACACTTAGTCACAAGTTATATTTAACCACTTCCAAAGTTGAATAACATTGAGCTTAATTTTTGACTATTAAAACAGTTGTCCCTGAATCTAAAACATCTTAGTGTTCTTAAGTGATTAGTTTATGGTGTCTAAGTCCTGATATGGTGTGAAATAGCCAGTTTGAATCAATTCGTTGTAATTATTGAAACAGAAAAGGATTTATTTAGCTTTAGCTACTTCAAACAATAATAACCATTATTTACAAAAACTATGTTACATTTACAAAGTGGTCGTCATTAGTGAGAAAATTCTGAAATAGATCGAATTCAAATTCCATTACGTACAAGTTCCATCTGCCCTCTCAGAGTGGGGGTTGTGACCCCTGAGTTTTTAAATGAAAAGAAGTTGTGATCATCATTTAGAAAAGTATATTTATTTACTGTCTATCAGTAATGTTAATATTCTTATTTTTAGTTCTATCACAAAATTATCTTCTAAAACATTGAATTATCTGACTGAGGCCGTGGCCGGGTATTTTGATGACCGGCTATGTTGATCTTTGCTATTTTTTACCTTGGAATCAAAAGTGCTATACACCGTGGCCCATTTAAAACACTCCACCTACATATTCCGAAAACTGCGCATTCTAGAAAAAAGTTTCAAACGAAAGTTCAGAGGAGTCAAAATGACGGTGACCTTTACAGTGACCTTCAAGATCAAGTGAACATTTTCTAAAGGACCCCCTTTTTGACCCATGGGAATTGAATGAACATTACGTTGGCCATGACCTTGACTGTTGCGTTCAAGGCCATTTCGAGGTCAAATCAAAAACAATTTGTTATAGCAACACTGTTCTACCGCGCAGTTATGAGCTATGTGGGGATCACCCAATGGTGACCTTAACTGTGACCTAGACAAGAAACTTCCAAGGTCAAGCGAATATTTTCAAATGGAACCCTCCCCCCATTTTTTCTCATTCAGGGTTGAAAGGGAGAACAAATTTTACGTCCGAACAGTACCTTAGCTGTGACCTTGACTATCGAGTTCAAGGTCAAATGAAGACATTAAAAACACTTTGTTCAAGCAAAAATATTCCAAAAAAATAGGGTTCAAACCAAATGGGGGAGGGGGCAAAGTGATGGTGACCTTGACCATCAACTTGACGACTTTCAAGGTCAAGCGAATATTTTCGAAAGGAACCATCTCATTTTTTCTCATTCAGAATTGAAAGGGAGAGCAAATTTTACGTCTGAACAGTACCTTGGCCATGACGTTGAGTATCGCGTTCAAGGCCATTTCAAGGTCAAATAAAGACATCAAAAACAATTTCTAGCAAAAACGCTCGACCGCGCAGTTATGAGCTTTGTGGGGATCACCCAAAAATCGCCTCAACTGTGATTGAGCGTCAAGGTCATGTCAGAATTTTCAACGGAGACTTCTCTTTTGTGTATTGGAAAACAGGAAATGTCCCGTACCGATGAGACCTTGACCTCAATATCAAGGTCATGTAAAGCTTAAATGTTACAAATACAAGTCAAGGTCACATTAGGCCGTTTATTCATTCCCAGCATTAAATTTTCGACATGACCTTTAAGATCACGGTCAAGGTCATTTTTGTATGATTTCCACAAACCTGATAATGGTACTATCGAACATTTTTGTTAGAGCAATTTGTTTTCTATGTCTAGATTTGACCTTGAATGGAATGTTAAAGGTCATGTACAAGGTGATCTATAGACGTAAAATTTGCTCCTGTTTCCGATGCGGACGTGGAAAGAAGGGCGATTCCATTTGAAAATATTCACTAGATCTTCCAAGGACCTCAAAGGTCTTAGTTAAGGTCACCATTATTTTGCGTCCTCAAAACCCTACAACTTTTGTTGAAACTTTTCAAGAATTCGGTAGTTGGAACACTGATTCTAATTTGAATTTTAAACTGACCTGTGTCGGATTTCTCATAAATATACACAATAATCAAAATGAATTTATTCCATTTGTCTGTGTCACACTTTACAGTCACTATATGTGGAGGTGCAGAATTGTAAAAGTAGTAGGTCAATTATTGTATTACATATTTTGAACGAGAGAACTTAACAGTTTATGAAAAATTAACAACTGTAAGTAACCAAATATTTGTTTCATGTTGCTAATTTTCATACCGTATCGGTAATGCATTTAGGTTGTAACTATATGTCTTCATCCATGTGTGGTATAAGGGAATTGTTCCGTTACAATTAAGCGCTCAAAACAGGTAATAGAGCTGGCTAGGTTCTGAACGAGCCGTTCTGAATCGATTCCGATCATCTCGAAAAAATCGCTTTCGATGATTTCGATTCCGATTCCGGTGGGTTCGATTCAGGCGCTTAAAAATTCCCGCTTATAAGATAATGTTTTCATGATTGCTAATTCGGTTTTTTACAATTCTGTGCTATTACCGCCCCGTACTGTACCTAGCATGTTTAATCTTGCATCAATCCATTTACTTTCCACTCTAACATTGTACAATGATTAGATAGACAAATATTCAATCTTACATTTTCTAAATTTACGTAGAAATTGAAAATCTGTAATCTGAATCTGAACTAATTATGCCTGTGTCACATCTTAACATTGGTTCAATTATGCCTGACTACAAACTTTAATTTTTCAACATTGTAAAGTAATCAGATTTATATAGTAAACACATTTCTTTAATGTCTTTATTTTTTAGTCGAAAGGCCCATATTCAGATTACAAATAAAGTTTCAGGTCATCTAAATTCGTAATATTCCTCTATGTTGATCAGTATTTAGCATGTATATGAATATTAATAACCAATTTTGTTTCAGAAACACATAGAATATGGGCCTATAAATGAATATTCAATATTCCCTTCATAGGCCAGTAAATAGAAGTTACTTTATTATTTATTTGAAGATGTTTGAACTTCTTTACTGGCTCATCACCTATCTTTATTCTTCCCTGAATTGCTGTGTTATTAATGATGCAATGGGGTTTTCCGTTTCACTTCAAAGGCTTACCACAGTGTGCTGTTGTTAACGTCAATCAATATCACCAACAAGTCCATATTCCAACACTTTTCCCAAAGTCGGTAGGAATTTTCGTCGTACTATCGGGTGATTCATTCATAGGCACTTTCTTTTGAAACAATTATCATGTTGGGTAATCTTTATTATTTAAAAAAGAAGAAGCATGCATGACATTCCTTTTCGAAGATTTTTCAAGTTCCTCCGTTGTATTCTTTTAAAACCATTTAATAGTTCGCAAGACTATTGCATGCAAGCTCTAGTTGAAAAACGACATTGTTTTGAGGTGCAAGTAGCATTCTGCTGATTCATTATGAAAAGTGTTGGAATGTACCATGATGTGTGTCAATATTCGTCTGTGAGCGGTGACTTAACTGTTTTGGCGGTTTTTTTAGCGCGGAGGAGACAGACGAGGGTGATTTGGACCCCGATATCAAAGCGCAAAGGGAAAAAGAAAGAAGGCAAGCGAATAACGCTAGGGAAAGGTGCGTCAGGTTTATACTTTGGTTTTCGTAGCCAATCAATCGAGTTGGGGTGCGACAAAAGTTCTCTGCTACTTTGAAGTGAAACGAAAAATATGATAAACGATACAGCTGGAATTCTTTCTCGTATAGATGTATATCCTTACAGGTTTATGTGCAATCAAATCGATCTGTAACTTCATTTTATTTGCTTTGCCTTTATGCCTTTGTGGCAGTCCCATACAATGGACAAGTTTACCATTTTTTTGTTATCCCGTCAAATTTTAAGAAAAATGAAACATGATGGTGAAAAAAGTATTAATTTATCTCTAAAAACAAAAAAGTTAGAGCCTATCAAAGTTGCGCCCCGCGAGAATTTCCTAAACTCACACAGGGTAGCGAATTAGGTCCATTACTATTTATTATATACAGGGCCTTTGAAGTTGAGTCATTAATTTTCAGATAATGATTGTAGGAGGAAGATAAACCAAAATATGTGTGTAAAAATAAAAAAAAATAAAAAACAAAATTTTACATGTTTTATAAAGTATCCTCCCGACAAGTATTTCAGTGCGGACCTGTATTTGATCGTGAGGTCTTGGAGCACCGGCATGCCGTCCCCTGTGAGGTCTTAAGTCACCTGATTCACGAGCCCGTTGTACTACATTAACAAAGGCACGAGGGGTTGGTTGCACTCGATTGGGAAACCGATCCGCATAAACATGTGCCATTTTTTATTTCGTTTGAGCCACGCAACAGACACCACTATTCACTCACGCGTTACCGACTGACACTGACTGTATACAACTGAATAAAATAATTGTAAAAACATCGTTCCAAATTCTTTCGCTTTTTTGTTTCCGATGCGATGAACCGATAAGGCGGATTACATCCGTTGTTGCCAAACACGAGCACATAATATTATTATTGAGACAGGGCGGTACTCAAACTTCCAAAGGGCTATAACTTTGTTACTTTAATTTTACCAGAAAAATGGTAAAGGAAAAAAACATTTCTTTTGATCAGATCTACTCACTGTTAAAATAAATTACTCAACTTCGAAGTCACCCTGTATAAACAAAATATATGCTAATAGGAAAATCTTTAGATCCAAATACGATAAATCTTACAGATAACCATGAAGAAATTGTCTCAATCATTTAAATATTTGGGCGTATACGTAGACAGTAAATTAGAATTTGAAGGGCACTATGAATATATTATTTAAAAAATATCCAAGAAAATAAATTACTTTTATAGAATTTCGCATAGCCTATAAGCGTTTATTCTAAAAAAATTGTGTACAACACTATCATTCTTCCTCATTTGTTGTATTGTTAGACTATTTTGTAAACTGAAAATGGAACTGTATTTTCAAAATTACAAATATTACAAAATAAAGATGTGAGAATCATCTTAAATAAAAATAAATATACAAGAAAAAAATTTATGCTGAAAGAACTTCAATGGTTAAATATCAAAAATTCCATAGCCTACTTGGTTTTCATTTTCATATTCAAGTTAAAAAATCTTCTACCAAATCACTTAGAAAATTTTATTGTATTGAACATTGAGTGCCACAATTATTCTACTAGAGGAAGTATAGACTTTCATTTACAAAACTGCAGCAGCAATATAACGAGCAAGTCAGTATTTCAAAAGGGATTGTACGAATTTCATAAATTAAATAATGATATCAAGATGTGTGTCACTAAACCATTTCTTCAAACAAAAATGTTCCAAAAAACCAAGGTTCAAACCAAATAGGGAGTGGGCGAAGTGATGGTGACCTTGACCATCATCATGATGACTTTCAAGGCCAAGCGAATATTTTCAAATGAAACCCCTCATTTGTTCTCATCCGGAATTGAAAGGGAGATCAAATTTTACGCCCGAACAGCACCATGGCCATGACCTTGAACGATTTCAAGGTCGGATACATCTAAAACAATTTGTTCAAGCAAAAATGTTTTTTTGAGCCACAATCACAACAATTGACTGTCAAAACTAATTTAGGAAATCTGAGGTTTAAACAAGATGGGGTTACAGCACACTCAGCTCGGATTTCTATAGCGAAATTAAGACAAATGTTTCCTGGTCGATTCATGTCTTTGAGAGGTCATTTCGGATGGCCAGATTTAAGCATGTGCGACTTTTTTTTGTGGGGTTATTTGAAGGAGAAAGTTTTTAATCATCGCCTCCACACTTTAGATTAACTAAGGCCCGAATTGTTGAGGAAACACCCACCATACTCCCAGAAATGTGTAGAAAAGTAGCTCAAAACTTCAGAGATAGATTACATCTGTGCATTGCTGAAATTGTATTCAAAGCTAAATAAAAAAATGGGATTACATACAAATTATAATAAAAAAAGTTTTAACCTCGAAGGTGTTCAGTTTTCTGTTAATACCTCCTGTAAATATGGCCATCACTTCTGCCCCAGATGATTGCAAACCCACTTTCGCAAATTTATATCTAGTTTGTCGATGACAAATGGCAGCAAAGAACTTTTGTAGTGACCTGACAGACGCATAAATCCTGAAACATAAAATTAGCCATCAAAAAGTGGGAAATCTTGATGATTTAGCATATATCGGGTTTTCTAATAGGGACTCGACATTTTGAACTTTCACTGTGAACGCACCTTTTTTTCTCATTCAGAATTGAAAATGTTATGTCCGAACAGCACCTTGGTGATGACCTTGACTATAGCGTTCAAGGTCAAATGAAGACATCAAAAACCATTTCTTCAAGCAAAAATGTTCCAAAAAACCAAGGTTCAAACCAAATGGGGAGTGGGCGCAGTGATGGTGACCTTGACCATCTACATGATGACTTTCAAGGTCAAGCGAATATTTTCAAATGGAACCCCTCATTTGTTCTCATGCAGAATTGAAAGGGAGAGCAAATTTTACGTCCGAACAGCACCATGGCCATGACCTTGGCTATCGCGTGCAAGGCGATTTCAAGGTCGAATACATCTAAAACAATTTGTTCAAGCAAAAATGTTTTTCTAGGAGATCTGAGGTTTTAACAAGATGGGGTTACAGCACACTCAGCTCGGATTTCTATAGCGAAATCAAGACAAATGTTTCCTGGTCGATTCATGTCTTTAAGAGGTCATTTGGGATGGCCAGATATAAGCATGTGCGACTTTTTTTTGTGGGGTTATTTTCGGCTTGATAAATTATAACTTATTCTTAACCCTATATTCGGAGATAATCTATGCAGGAGGGTATATTTGACAAGTTCTCTCAGTATTATCAAAATTTCTCAACTATGGCTTGCTTTATATACGATACGAATTCATCATTATTGGCCTATATTCATGTGTTTCTCCAATGATATCATTGCAGTTGAATGACATTTTCGAGTAACCTTACTGTTTCTAGGATACGTATTCGCGATATAAATGAAGCTCTGAAGGAATTAGGTAGGATGTGCATGGCACACCTAAAAACTGACAAACCGCAGACGAAACTTGGCATCTTGAATATGGCTGTAGAGGTCATCATGACTCTGGAACAGCAAGTTCGAGGTAAGATTCGTCTTGATTCCTGAACAATTGAAAGTGTGTGACTTACGAAGTTTTTGAATTGACTATGAATAACATGAACCAAGCAATGATTTTTTTGTAAATTTCAGAACGAAACTTGAACCCTAAAGCAGCCTGTCTGAAAAGGCGGGAAGAAGAAAAAGCGGAAGACGGACCTAAACTGGGTCCAGGACCACATCACTTGCTCTCTGCTCCACATTATCCTACATTGCCTGTAAGTATATTTCAATAGTTTTCACGATTCATTCGTTACGTTCATTTGACAGCGACTGAAGCAAAACACTGTCAAATCATGCTCCGATAGCTCAACATAAAATATATCGCACTTTGATTCAGCCGCTGAGTGCAAGTGAACTACTTAATAAAAATATATTCTACATTTATGCTGAAAAAATGTATACAGGGTGTTTCAGTTTAATGTTGCATAACTTTAAGATTCGATAGAACTTTTAAAATTAATGCATAAAGTCTATATAAACATGGGTCGAGAAATGCGCGGCTTCCGAAATACAGGGTGTTTAAATTTACTTTCTAAAATAGTTTTTTTTTAATATTTCGACAATATTTGATGTATAACAGTGAAAATTGGTATACAAGGGTTTTTTGGTACGACAAAACGAACCATGGGCATAGTTTTACTGTAGCCGCTAGAGGGCGCTCTCTACTGTACCTGTAGTGTATTAAAATGACCGAAATTTTTTTCTTCGTGCAATTTTTTGCTCTTTGAATAAAAAAACTGATTCTTCGCACTTTTCAACATAAAAAATCTCTCTTGTGAATTTTCGTTATAGTTAGCCGTTTTTGAGATATTTCGATTTCTAAGGTTCGATGCATTTTTAATTATTTATGGGAAAATAATGTTTTTTTACATTTTCGATTTGGGCATTACAAGTAATTAAGATGATCGCTTAGATTGTGTTTTTAAACACTGCAATAATTCCTAACTCCAAATAAACACAAAAAAACAGAATATTAATTTGTTTAATTTTCCAATATTATTTTTAACAAATTAAATTAATCATTTACAACTAAAATGCTATTGGATAGTTAGGACAAACATACAAAATCTAAAGTAGTTGCTCGAAATGTAAACCCAATTGTTCAATACACAATTCACATCTACGAATGTGGTATAGCATTATTCAAATAAGGCCTTATTTCATCACATGCATTCCTGATTCTGTCTATTAGCATATCTCTTGTGGTTACGGGAGTCTGGTACACTTTTTCTTTTAGAAATCTCCACACAAAGAAATCTAATGGATTTAGGTCAGGGGATCGTGGAGGCCAGGCGACTGGTCCTCCACGGCCGATCCATCTTTCTGGATAATTTTCGTCCCGCCAGTTTCTAACTATTCTCGAATAATGAGCTGGACAACCAGGCCACATATTTGCATGTTCAGCCTTTAAAAATTCCAAGAAGGTCGCAGCATTTAACCTTGCAGGCAAAAGGTAGGGTCCAAATAGTCGATTACGGTAGATACCAATCCACACGTTCACACTAAATTCATGCTGAAAATTTCTTTCCCGAACTGCATGCGGATTTTCATGCGACCAAATATGTTGATTTTTATAAAACTTACAAAAAAAAACAGGTAAAAGAAACTAAATTTCGTACATTCACAATTGCAAAAAAACGTTTCAGGTTTCAACAGACAACAAAACTAACTGTCAACTAATTGACGTTTAACCTTGTTCTGCTTTCAATTTCAAAAATATTTGCAGGCACAGCCTACTTCTAAAAATTATCGAGATACTGACTTTTTCACGTTATTTTATCATAAATAATTAAAAATGCATCGAACCTTAAAAATCGAAATATCTCAAAAACGGCTAACTATAACGAAAATTCACAAGAGAGCTTTTTTATGTTGAAAAGTGCGAATAATCAGTTTTTTTATTCAAAAAGCAAAAAATTGCACTAAGAAAAAATTTTCGGTCATTTTAATACACTACAGGTACAGTAGAGAGCGTCCTCTAGCGGCTACAGTAAAACTATGCCCATGGTTCGTTTTGTCGTACCAAGAATCCCTTGTATACCAATTTTCACTGTTATACATCAAATATTGTTCGAAATATTTAAAAAAAACTATCTTAGAAAGTAAATTTAAACACCCTGTATTTCAGAAGCCACGCATTTTTCGGCCCATGTTTATATAGACTTTATGCATTAATTTTAAAAGTTCTATCGAATCTTAAAGTTATGCAACAATAAACTGAAACACCCTGTATACGGTGCCCCATTTTAATCTCCAAACCTGAATCATTCGGAATCAGCTTCTTAGAAAAAAAGTTTCAAACCAAAGCTGTAGGCTTTCGAAATGGAAAGAGGGGTGACCTTGACCTTGCTTTTCAAGGCCATTTTGAAGAACTCCATTTTTTACATCAGAATTGAAAAGAGTATGAGGAAGTTTTACGACCAAATATTATCTTGACCATGACTACGACGTAATGTCATTTCAAGGTCACTTCAATATTTTCAAATAGGTATCCCCCTTATTTTCACCTAAATTGCAAAAGAGGATATTTTACGTCCGAATATGACCTTGACCATGACCTTCAAGGTATTTTTAAGGTCAAGTCAGGGATTTTAAAGGAAACCTTAATTCTTGTAACAGTATGGACAAGGGATAAAAATTTTACGTATGAATGTGACCTTGAAGTCCCAATCAAGGTCAAATCAAAGACGTCGAAAATAATTTCCTCGGGCAAAGATGCTCAACAGCACAGTTGTGAGATTTGCTGGAGTCCACCAAATGTGACCTTGACCAAGGTCAAAACAAAATGTTCAATAACAAAACCGCCGTAAATTTACTTGATATTGAAATGTCCTTAAGTCATAGTCAAGGACAAGATTATATGTAGACGTAAAATTTCTCTTCCCAATTCCGATGTAAAAAAGGAGGAGTTCTCTTTGGAAATCTTGGTTTGACCTCGATTTGACCTTGAAGGTCGCGATCAAGGGCAATGTCAAGGTTTTCCTCCTCGAAATCCTACAGCTTTTGTTTGAAATTTTTACCAGGATAGATGTCAAATATGTGTACTTACTTAAGGAGATATTATTTTGATATTTTTTTTTTCGTATCTTTTATAGAGTAGTAACAGCCAAGAACAGTTCATCCCAGAAAGTTCACCTACATACTCTTCCACACCAAACTTTTTTAAGGCAATTATTTTTTTATTTTTAATTATTTTAGTTGAATATTATATAGGGTGTTTTTCGAAGTACAAAACTATAAAATGAACAAAAAACGAAGGAATAGTTGTATATCCCATAGTGTTAGAAAAATCACTTGTCGCGTCAGTGAAAATAAAATATATGTCTCTATGTATAAGGCGACCCAAATTCAGTAATATCATAGTCATCTTTTTTTCACATACTACTAAGGCTGGTGACTTTCCTTTAAAAGTCAAATACAGTAAGTTACCACCATAGCCATAGCTCTGATGAACGTAACCGACTAAATAGCTTTTATAACGATATTATATTTCGTTTTTAGGTTTTAAATTACTCGGAAAAACGCCCCATATAGCTAATGTTTTTTCAGTGTGTTTGATATTATCGTAATTCACTTCAAAAATTGCATGTTCTACTATACAGGGTGTTACTTAATGATATTCCGTAATTGCGAGGGCACATTCCTGAAGTCAAGATACAGGGTGTCAAAGTACAAAAAAAATAGCATCGTATGATGTATTTAAAAATGTATGTTTATATTTTTTCGTAACTAGGCAGACTGAAATACGAATTAATTCCAATTGGCTTTTCCACACTGTATCTATGACCTAAATATTATTCGTTAAAATCTTTCAGAAGTTGTGCGATATCGATACTTTTGTTTTTTGAGTGATGGTTTTGCATGCTTTTTTTATTTAGTATTGAAGATCAAACATTAACATATCACTACTTATTTATACAGTAGTTTTTCCTCTCCCCAATTACTTATTTATCGAACGGGTTAAGTTAAGAATCTGAAATTCAGGGTGAAGAAATCGCCACTTGGACACTATATGTTAACGTAAAATTCTGGAAATTCCAAGATGGCGATGAGCCTTATAGAATGGGGTCATGTCTACCTTATTTTAAAGCGCTTCGCCAATATTTTCTAATCCTGCAATATAAACTTACTAACCTTATAATATTGCTAAAAGTAAGTAAAGGGTAAAAAGGCAGAATAGAAGTAGCATTGTTTGAAAACTACTGGTTTTTTACTTTGATAAACTGATTTAATGCTTTTATGCTTATGAAATGTAATTAACATGAAATATTTGACAAATTGTGAGAATACAAATTTTTGTTAAATAACGCGGTCGATGATATATTTTGTAATTGTAATCGTCAAAATTAAAAAATGTAGCAAATAAAGTTATGTTCGGAAAGGTCTATCTTGAATACATTATAAAATGGAACATTTCGATTACAGAATAGACAGATTTAAACATTTTTTTTTCATTGGAATATAATATTTACAAATTTGGATAAAACATTCCAAAAGAAGCATAGTGATATATTCTAAACCTCTTTGATGGCTGGTTCTTGAGTTCGAAGCTATTCAATGTACAACCCTACGATTTAAAAAACTGTTCTAAGGTGGGTCCCAGCCATCGTTTTGAAATTTTCGATCACTTTTACACTAAAATATAGTATTCTTGCATCGATTCCATCACCCTCAATTCTTGTCTGTGAACTTTATCCGTTCAAAAAATACGTGAAATAAAAAATATTTGTGAAAATCAAGATCCATCATTATACTCGCCGATTTCGATCGTTCACATTAGCAGACTTGTATTAAGACCAATTTTTTTATCATAGACTCTCATGTATTTTTCTTTTGTTTTCAGGGTGCTCCGACAGCTCTGACACACACGCCAGGCCCCGGGCCCCAATAGCATTGATAGTATTCCCTTTGCTACCTGTACATAATTTCTCGTACAAAAACGGCATCATCATTTTCACCATACATCATGCATAAACGATTCTATATTTTTTTAAGAATATTTACGTAGTGATACAGAAACTGTATTCTTATTTTTTTATTACTTATATCTTCACTTAATTTTTTGATTGTTTTTCGTAATTCGATTTTAGAGAAAACAGCTTTACTATCTTTTTCATTAATGTTAAGCGTCATCGGCGTAGCTGGAGTACTTCCATTTGGACAGGTGTCAAGTGCAGGTACTAGCTGATGTAATTTTTATGGATATAATGGGCGCATTCGGGGAATCACAGCGTTGAACGGTTTCGGTTTGACTCAAAGCTTTGCAGAGCTGTCAATCCCTTGGGGGTGGCAGGTACTGCTAGGAGGCCGGAGGTGTCGCATATAGGCATTTATTATCGACTAATTTTGATTTTTGAACGGTAAAGCATGCTTTTGGATTTTTCTTCTTATTGCAATGAGTATACATGCAGGTTACGCTCCTCGCACGGCGGTATCGTGGTGTGTGCCTACGAGGCGGCGTGGTGCAACTACAAAGCGATTGCGAGATGGGGAACAAGCAGCTTTAAAGAACAAGGAAACAGTGGCATGGGTAGGATTAAATTTGCTCCTAACAGTCGACACTGAAAGTTAATTTTCAGCTCCATTTTTCTTCATCTCTCAATTTGTTTACTGAGCAGCAATATTAACATTAACTCTTCAATTTAATAACCTGAGAACTCGTATGAAATCGTATATTCAGTGTCTCAAATTTTGAGTATGTGAAAATCTCAGCGACTTTGGTATCCATGTAATTCAAATATCTGCTAACATGAAGCGATTGTTTGTTGTGTAATTTTTTTTCAGCATCCATTTTTATTAAAATCACTCCATGATAAATGGCTATTTTTAGTGACACCTTCTTAGTACCCAGACTATTAATAAAAGACATTTGAAATTTCTACATATAATTATGGAAAATTTTACTATATTCTGTAGCGGCTTTGTTCATGTCTTCCATAATTTATACTGTAGGAAACCAAAGTGGGCATTTGTCTTTGAATTTTTCTGACATCCCTTTTTTCAACTACCTACTTGCAACATTATTCTAAATCCTTTTTTACTTCATGATGTGTATGGAGATGACTTGAAACTATCGTTTTAATTTTGTTTTATCATTGTCAAATGCATTTTTTGTGCGTTTTATTCTGGATTTTTTCTTCGATCGTAACTTGTTAACAAATATTAGTACAGCTCTGCAATTGCATGTGAATATTCCACATTTATGGATGAATGAAACAAGTGATTAATTTTAATGTTATCACTTTTTCTCTTCGAAATATATTTGCTTTTCTTGACTTGCTTTGAGACGAAGATTCAAGAAAATCAAAGTGATAAGAACAAAAGTAATCACTTGTTTCATCCTGCCATAAAAGAGGAATATTCACATACAACTTTAGAGCTGTATTTATATTTGTTAACAAGTTCCGATTGAAGAAAAAATGCACAATAAAATGCATCAAAAATGAGAACAGTGTTTTTTAGTCATCTGTATACACACCACGAACTTATCAGATGAAAAGGATTTAGAATACTGTTGCAAACAGGCAGATGAAAAAAAATCTCAAAATAGGACGTGCCACCTTAATGTATATGGTATCTATTCCCTTTGAACATGTTATTTCAGCTATTGAAAAGATTCGACGGAACGTGTTACTTGCAGCTACGTCATCTTTAAATTTTTATACATGGTTAGAGACTTTAAAACGTGCATCGTCCATTGTGCCAAATTAATAATACTCTTTAAATATAAGTTTAGTATTATTTTGATCTCTATATTGCCATTTTTTTTTTCGTAGATGGAGGATAAGCGTGAACCGTTTACTTATAGTTTTTCGCACAAAATATTTAAATTCGAAGAATACAGTTGTTGTCCAGAGCATATTAATGATCGTTGACGAATAGATGACTTTTGCTTGAAAACGTCAAATTCATCCTGAAAATATGCATAGTTGTCTAATCATATTAGCAAATTTCCCCGAAATAATGGTAAAGCATCGTTTTATTGATGCTGTTGTTCAAGGCGGTATTTAAAACATGGACGCATAAAATAGGTACATTAATTTTTATGGGAAAACTTTTTATTCGACAACAAAGAATGAGAAAACGTGTTTTTTGGGATGTAATCGAAAGTGTTGACAGGAATGAAAAAACTTTTCAAATAAGATTTTTAGGTATCTATGAGCTCCGTAACAGCGTTATAGTTCAGTAATCTTAGACATTCCTGAAGCTTGGAATATATTAAAAAATGTTTAATTTTAAAAGGAGGACTGCGTTATTTGGTATGATCACTTATACAAGATGAAACGATCGTCTTGAAGCCGAAAATGACACGTTTTATACCATCCGCTAAAACGCACTTTTGTAATATGGTCATTCCTACAATACCCCGCCTAACAGCGTTATATTCGGTTTTTTTAGACATTCTTAAAGCTCGGAATATATTAAGAAATGTTTATTTTTGTGTCCATAAAAGGACACCGTTATACGGTATGATCCAATATTGGATGGAACGATCGTCATGAAGCCGAAAATAACACGTTTGAGACGATCCTCTTGCACGCACTTACTTTTGTAACATGTTTATACCTACAATACCCCGCCTAATAGCGTTATAGTTCGGTAATTTTAGACAATCCTAAGCCCGGAATATATTAAAAAATGTTTTTTGTGTTCAAAAAAGGTGGACAGCGTTATTCGGTATGATCCAATATTGGATGAAACGATCGTCATGAAGCCGAAAATGACACGTTTGAGACGATCCGCTTGCACGCACTTACTTTTGTAACATCTTTATACCTACAATACCCCGCCTAATAGCGTTATAGATCGGTTATTTTAGACAATCCTAAGACCGGAATATATTAAAAAATGTTTTTTGTGTTCAAAAAAGGTGGACAGCGTTATTCGGTATGATCCAATATTGGATGAAACGATCGTCATGAAGCCGAAAATGACACGTTTGAGACGATCCGCTTGCACGCACTTACTTTTGTAACATGTTTATACCTACAATACCCCGCCTAATACCGTTATAGTTCGGTAATTTTAGACATTCTTAAAGCTCGGAATATATTCAAAAATGTTTATTTTTGTGTTCAAACAAGGAGGACAGTGTATGCTGTATGATCCAATATTAAATGAAACCCCAAATGAAAGTGCCAAAACTTGCAGTTTGCCTCGCTTTTCGGCCATAACTTTTCGGATCTTTTTCTGTGTGTTCTCATTTTGTAGGTCTCGTAAATACCTAAAAATATTATATAAAGAGTGTTTTCGTTCCTGTCAACACTCGATTGAATCCCAAAAAACGTTTTTTTCATTCTTTGTTGTCGAATAAAAAGTTTTCCCATAAAAATTGGTGTACCCACTTTATGCGTCCATGTTTTGACTTTACAAATATTTCGCAAGCCAGGGGTATTTTCGTCTATAATTAGAAAACAAATTTGGATATCTAGAATTTGAGAGAAAAAATTTTAATATTCTGATTTTATATCGGGGTCTTCAGGTCATACAGAAAGACCCATGGCCGCAAGATACAATTTTGCTAACTTATTTGTTGAACAAAAACTGTCATTCAAAAAAAAATTGTCCAGGATGAAAATACTTTCAATTTGATGAAACGCTTAATTTGTTATTACAAAAAAAGTCAGAAACGCTCGATTTGTACACTTTTTCACCAAAAAATGCATCACGGTAAAGCAAAAATTGTTTTATCTCTCGATCAGGATCGTTGTCATATATCCTCAAAAATACAATGACGCTGTAAAACCGCTCATTACATTTTTTTTCAAAAACAGTCGATTTTGTGTAGTCGGCTTGGTGTAAATGCTGTCATGTTACATCCTAAGTAATCGATTCTTTTTAGTGTGCTCTGGTTTGATGACCCACTAGAAAATTTAAAAAGACACACCAATGACGTTATAGTGCCATTTTCTTAGAAATATTAACTCCAACGTGTCTGTCATCTGAAGTAGTTTGAAGTTAGCAGCAAAATAATGATAAAGTTAACCTTGGTTTCGAGCTATTTTCAATTACAATTTTATTTGGAACAATGTCACGTTATTTAAAAAGAATTGCTCATTTTCGTACATTTGCTCATTTCAATGTGCTCACTTTAGTTAAGTAAGTTTTCAGCTCTCATATACTGTTGGACAATTTACAGTGAAGCGGATGCAACCAGTAGAACAACTCACTGAAAAAACATACTTGTTCGACCTAAATTATCAAACGATAACTTGAACATTAGTTTGATAAACCTCTATAATCTTTAGACCACCACTGCCGCGCCATTTTTTTTTGGACATGATTAAATCCATATTATCCAGGTGATATATTACTTTTAAAAAGTACATAAAACTTGCGTCAAATAGTGTAAGTGTTGTCCATTTAATATGTTTAAATATTGTGAGATGCTATTTGAAATTGTATCTGCTCATATAAAATTGATATCTAGGTGCTTTGCAGTTTCTTCGGATGTCAGTAGGTATCACTCAAAAAGACCTCCAACCATGTATAAATCCATAGGTTTATGAGCCAGTATTCGCTTTTTGAACGAAAAGTCGTTACTTATTTTTGTTGTATATATTTTATCAGCGGCTGATTTTATCTTTTATTCTTTAAAACGAGCCACAGGTCTTTCCTATTTGGAGTATGCCGGTGAAAGTTAAACTTTTAACTTATTTATTTCAGAAATACAAGAATTTTAAATTATTTTTGTTTTCTAAAATTTGATTTCTACTTAGTGCAAAAACTTAAACGTGAATAGTTATTACTCTTATTGGTAAAAAAGTTTGTTCATTTTTTTTATGAATAATTTTAAGTTATGTATGCTAAGTATAATTTTTTTTCTATGTAGAATTTTTAGACACGCTGTATTTTAAACTGTTTATTTTTTTAGTTTGGTAGTGAATTATATTTATATTATTTGTTTTTGATTGTTAAAAGCGATATTTAATCACTTCGACTTCTATTGTACAGAGTATGGTGACCTGAACGGGTTTCTGCGTGTAAAACCTGTTATTCCCTTTTCGGTTTCGTGAGCGATCATTTTGAAATTGAACGAAAGCATGTCTGATCAAATTAAAAATATCGCTCACAAAACTCAACTTAAAAGTACACTGAAATTACGAGTTGCCATCCTAGTATAATCCTGAAATTATTTCACAAAATCAGAAGTTATTCGCGAATTTTTTTCTGAGTCTCAAAATTTAATATGTTGGCTTTCAATAACTGTGAAAATTGAAATCCTAGTATAATTCTGAGATTATTTCACAAAATAGCGAGTTATACGCGATTTTTTTTCCGAGTCACAAAATTTAATATGTTGCCTTTCAATAACTGTGAAAATTGCAATCCTAGTATAATCCTGAGATTATTTCACAAAATAGCGAGTTATACGCGATTTTTTTTCTCAGTCACAAAATTTAATATGTTGCCTTTCAATAACTGTAAAAATTGCCATCCTAGTTATAGTCCTGAAATTATTTCACAAAATCACGAGTTATACGCGAATTTTTTTCTGAGTTACAAAATTTAATATGTTGCCTTTCAATAACTGTGAAAATTGCAATCCTAGTATAATCCTGAAATTATTTCACATCACGAGTTATACGCGATTTTTTTACTGAGTCACAAAATTTAATATGTTGCCTTTCAATAACTGTGAAAATTGCCATCCTAGTATAGTCCTGAAATTATTTCACAAAATCACGAATTATACGCGAATTTTTTTCTGAGTTACAAAATTTAATATGTTGCCTTTCAATAACTGTGAAAATTGCCATCCTAGTATAGTCCTGAAATTATTTCACAAAATCACGAATTATACGCGAATTTTTTTCTGAGTTACAAAATTTAATATGTTGCCTTTCAATAACTGTGAAAATTGCCATCCTAGTATAGTCCTGAAATTATTTCACAAAATCACGAATTATACGCGAATTTTTTTCTGAGTTACAAAATTTAATATGTTGCCTTTCAATAACTGTGAAAATTGCAATCCTAGTATAATCCTGAAATTCTTTCACAAAATTACGAGTTATAGGCGAATTTTTTTCTGAGCCACAAAATTTAATATTTTGCTCTTTAATAACTGTGAAAATTGCCATCCTAGTATAATCCTGAAATTATTTCACATCACGAGTTATACGCGAATTTTTTTCTGAGTCACAAGATTTAATATTTTGCCCTTGTAAAGTATTGAATGTTGGTCATTTTTTCCTGAAATTCAATGGTGTTTATTTGATGAATAAATAAAATTTGCTGCTTTTCGCTCGAAGTATTATTTTGTAAAATTTTGATGAAATCAACTTGAGAAGCTCTGAAATTTGGACTTTTGAGTCACTCTCTGCTAAAATTGAGATATTTGGACAAATCATTTTTTTAACTAAAACACCACGCTAATTAATTAGCACCATTCATTGGCTTTTTCTGTCATAGTCAAACATTTTAATATTCAGCGTAAAAGGTTGATTTCCATGAAAAACGAAAAAGTGAAAAAATCTAGTCCGGAACTGGATGTAACTTACTTGCAAAATTTCAACAAAATCGGTTCAGTAATGCCTGAGATAAAGATTTGGGGTGTTTAGATATGAAAAGGTCTCGGTCTACCTGAATACTGCCTACCGTTTTACTATGTCCATTTAATTACGGAACACCCTGTAGTACTCAAACTCCCCAAATATCGGCCTTCAAAACCACGGCGATTTGAGACTGGAGAATTCTTCAATTCCCAAGATTTGCGGTGCTCATTTCAAATGACTGAAATTCCGTCAGGAATTGAGGGACACTCCACTAAAAATGTCTCATATTTCAATAATAATCCAGATAGGATATGTTAAAATGGCTTCAGTTGTTACAACTTGGAGCTGCGGTCTTTGAAAGGTGGTGTTTGGAAATCAAAATATGCTCCAGTTCAAAAACTCGTAGCAGTAAGCACTTTTTTTTTCAGAAAAAGTCCTGTGTTTTCAGTTAGTTTCCCGCTTTGGTTCTACATTTTAATGGTACTATAAATGAGTGATCAAAAATTTTGAAGTCTGCTGTCGAGTTCAGTTACAGGAGCTCTAACACAAAATAGTTCGGACATTATCTAATTTTATCTTGAAGTTTGTTTACTCTGAGGTTACAAAGTATTTTTTTTCTTTTATAAGACATTGAAATATATTGTTTTGACATCATATTAACAAAATTATCATCACGTAATATGATAAAATTATCATCACGTAATATGATATTAAACTATAAAGCTAATTTGAATAGCTCGTTACGTCTCCCTTTTCCTTAGTAACAACATTATTTCTGGGTTTCATGGTTTTAAAAAGTCTCGCAGTCTTCCGCCTTAAAAGGATCAGATATATTTTGTAATTTTACTCGTAAATCAGAAATGTTTCGTTGTGAATCATTTCTTAATTGCTGCTTCATTTTGTGCTATACAGTTTCGACAATATTTAAATCATGACTGGAAGGTTAGTCAAGGACGGAAACATTATTAACCATTTTTTCGTGGTTTTGGCCGTATGACATGAAAAATAAAGTTTCTGTCAAAAGATAAAATTGGAATTGACGATATTTTGATATTTAGCTGCTTTGAGAGTTCCGTCTATGAAGTGAAGTTTTCCAACGTCAAAAGCATATATGCTTCCCCATACCATTAAACCTGATGGAAACTTTACTTTTCTCTTTAAGCAGTCTTTACGAAACGCTTCATTTTTGTTTCTTACAAACCGAGATCGGCGATTCATCGCTAAAAATTATCTTTTTCTAATCTTCGTAAGTCCACGTTGCTCGTTCCTCAGTCCACACTAATCGCCTTTTCTTTTGTTTTTCCGTAAGCAACAGCTTTTCTTTTGCCTAAATCAAAGATTTTACTGAATAAATATGTCATGTGTCCTTTAAATGCAACTTACGTACTTAAAAAAAGGTAAAACCAGACTTTTTCTGCTGTTTCTTCATTCCATTTTGCCCCTAATACGAACAAAAGATTTTTGCATTCTGACTTGACTTGAGTTGAACCTGTGTCTCCATACTTTTTTACAATATCTGCCACCAAAAACCTCGCGACATTTATTTGTTTAGCAACATCCCGAAAACTTTTTCCTTGATGAAACAATTTTATGATTGAAACTCTGATCGCTCCGTTTGTTGCTTTACCACGAGACATTTTAAGGCAAATTGATCACAGAATTGATACTCAAATCAAAACGTCATAACACTTTTTTGTTTCCAAAACAGTTTTGTTAATATGATGTACAAACAATATATTTCGTGGTCTCGTAAAAGAAAAACAATTCATTTTTAACCTTACAAAAGTAAACAAACATTTAGATAAAATTAGATAATGTCTGAACATTTTTGTGTTAGGGCTCGTAATCATACTTATACAACAATGAGTTCAAAGCACGTTTAAAAACTATTAAAATCTCGAAAAATCCGAGTTCTATTTTCCATCGTGAAACAAACGGAGATGAAAGAAATGATTTTTTTCTGTGACGGTGAAAAAGCTCGACATTTTATCTCTGTTGTCAGGTAACAAAATGTCACTTTTTATGAAATTACTTTTTTCCCCGGGGAAAAAATGAGTACTTTTTTCCCGTAAGTTTTCCGCGATTTAGCTGGCAATAATTTTTGTGACGCTACTTTGGCCACTTCTAATTCCGATGGAGTTAAAGAAAACTCGGAATCAGACATTTTTTACTTTTCAGTATTAAAAATAACTTCTAAACAACCACTAAGTTCGCAATTTTTAAATCAAATCACAAAATTAAATTGACAGCTATGATTACTTTAAAAGTTTCCTTAGCAACGTCGCTAAAGGTACAACATAGCCTACTAATTTCAAAATTCAAATTTCACATCGATAATTTTCTGACTTCGTCGTTTTTCCCGTCACAGAAAAAAATTGTCTTTTATACACGGGAAAAATATTAGATTTTAGCTTGAGGTTGTATTGCCTCCCGCCGCCGTCCAATCTAGTACTTTTTCACTTGTATAATTAATAACTATTTGTGACCTAAGTCTTCTCAAATTCATTTTGTTTTATTAAAGCATCAAAGCCGTTGGAAAGAGGACTGAAAATGCGGTAAGGGATGTTCCCTGGCTCATTCATGGGTTTTTGAACTAGACCATCGCTGTTGCTCTCTCTCTAGAGAGATTTTAGATTCTAACACAAATTGAGAAAGCCGCCTCAAAACATACAAATCCTGTCTAGATATGAAACATAATGTGTATTGGGGATTGGCACTGCTAAAGAACTTAATGTTGGTGTCGAATAATATTTGCTACAGCACTGTCACTCCCTTGATGCAATCAATGTTGTGACCGGCTCAAGTATGAATTCGTGAAAAAATGCAAAAAATGAAGAATAACTCACTTACACTGGCTTGTAACATAGACGAATCTGATTAGTCAAACAAAAATTAACATTTTACATGCACCAATTAGAAATTCTTTTTAACATTTCTTATTTGTAGAACTACAAGTATCATGATATGTAGTCTTCTAAAAACTTCTGTTGTATAGAGGTTTTCAGAAGATTGCTAGTTTAACAGAACAGTTTCAGTGTATTTTGTCAAAATGACAATAAATAGCTATTATATGCCTCCGTCGGCTCCCAATCCTAAACGAACCCCGTTTCAATCTAACTAAACAATCACCGAGGGTCGGAAGTGATTAAACGAGCCATTTGTTGTACCATGAAAATTTATTTCTACACTTGCAATAATATTCACTATCTCAGAGAGAGCGTTGTATTCCCATTTC